TGTTATCTAGTTTGAAATTTGATTTTCTCTTTCTTAATTACTTTGTAAGTTCAAAACGTCAATTCTTTCATTACATATTGAACGATATTGAAGCCTAACGATATTGAAGCCTAAAATATAAGCTACCGTTCCAAGAGTTATCGACAAATTAACAAGGACCAGCTGGATGAGCACTAATTTGAACCTTATCGAAGCTCCTATATGCTAAACGGATAGGATTCATCCTTCATCTAAGGCATCACAAGAAGATCGGCGGTTATCAGATGTCAGTGTTGGATAGTAGCTTAATTTTCCTGCTCCTACATTGGATGTATGAATTGAATAGTAGCTTAATTAGTCAATGCTCCAAATATGGGGATGTAAGTGTTGTACCTAAAGTTTGGAAACATACTGCACCATCTCGTGTTAGCCATGAATCGGTCCAACCTTTCATGAGTTCCATCCTCTCTTGTCGAATTCCTAGACCATGTGAACACCCCTCCATTGAAATCAGGGTTAGCACAAATTGCACCCCTTGATCACACCTCGAAAATCTGCCATCTGTGTTTCCGGATGATTTCACCCACCAATCTTCTCATGACCTCCTACAATCTCATTGAAATCCCCTCCTACGATCTTAGTTGTTCTTGTTAGTTAAAATAAGTTTTTTTTTCTCTGTTACACACCCCTCAAATCATAGTTATCTTTGAAAAGGGTAAATTTCACAAAACCCCTCAAATCACATAGTGGTCAGGTGCCAGTGTTGGTCTTGAACCCTAGTCATGGCTTTGTGGTGGCAAGAGCACATGTGCAGACTCTCCCATAAAATCTTCACCTGAACTTTGAATTATCATGCACTAGATTTCTGCTTGTTAGCATTTGTGGAGGGTCTAAGATAACAATCTTGATTATGAAATCACCATGTACTAGAAATAACTTGGAAGTATCTTGTTTATATTTTGCATTGGCATTTCGGAATTAGGTTTTAAATCAAAATTTAACTCTAGTTCAGGGTCTCATTTTGATTTTAGCTGAAGGTTTGTTTTTTTGATCTTTTTAGCTCTGGTCTGTCTTAGGTTCCACTCAGGTTTTGTCAAACTCTTGAACAAAACTTCTCTTGAAAAGAAATTCGCTTCTTCATTAATCTATTTATAATTCAAATAGAATCTTGATAAACTTTTATGAATATCATTGTTTTCAGCAAGATTTTGTTGAGTCAGTTCTCCATGTTGTGAAATCCAAGTGTAGATCAACTTGGCTCTTGTACCAATATAATGGGGACTGGCTGGATGAAGGCAATTTAAATCTGATTAGAGCTTGTATCTGATGAACATATCAGATCAAATCTTCGTCGAAGGGTGCCTGCAGAAGATTGAATCACTGAGCTTTGTCACAGCAGGAAAAGGATGTGCACACATCATTGTTTCGTCTAAATGTTCAAGTTCCGGATGGAGGCAGTTGTCGATGGATTTGCAAGGGAAGGAAACAAAGGGAGAAGGAATTAGATGGAAAAGTTAATGCTTGATAAAAGAAAAAGTAACTTTTTCTTGATTTTTTTGGAAATTTGATAGAAGGATGCTGCTGCTTTGATGTGGAATGGGGTTTTATTTATTTTTTATTTTTTATGTTGTAGAGAGATGTACAGTTAGGATTTTGTGGAAATAATTTGAATATTATATAAAATATGCAAATAATGGTTGGCTTGTTTCATGCGCATACACCTAATCCTTTGGTCCCCACACCCTTCCAACTAACATTTCTACTAGGATACTCGCAACGTGCATGCTAGTTTTTCATAACTTTTTTATTCTATCTCTACTAATACAATGAAATCCATAGATTCTTAAATAGAGTTGGACTCTTATATTTAGTGTTATTCCAATTTCAAAATAACTTCTAATCCTAAAATATTTTGAAATTTGAAACAAATAATATGTGTAATAGAATTTGAAAGAGACTAGATAAACCAACTAATAGATAAATCAAATATCATAAATGTTAAAATCTAGACGAAATTGTTATCCTAACTAGTTGCTATAGCCACGAGTATAGAAACCCTAGGTGGCCTAGGCTCCAGACATGGCATCTAAAGCCTAGATGGTTTTTCCATTTTTTTAGCAACTATTATTGATAACAAATGCTAATGTTATAGAAAAGGTCAGACATTGTTACATGTCAGACTGGCGCCTAGGTTGATTTCTTTTTTTGTCTAAGTGGTGTTTGAGGTGGTTTTCTGAAAGTTGGAAGAGGTAGTGGAGGTGTTCATAGATAGTGGAGGAGGCCTAAGAAGTTCAGAGGAGGTTGGAGGATGTAGAGACTGCAGTGGAGAAAATCACGGCCTAGAACTAAGCTGTGATGTCCGCAGAAAAGGCCCACATTCACGTAGGCTCTCCCAAGACCGAGGAGAGCGGCCTAGGTACTGCCTAGGCATTGTTTTAAATATCGGCCGAATAATCGATATTATTGGCCGAGTTATCGGATTTAAGAGCTCTCCGCTAGGATAAGTTGGTTTTCTAATCGGTTATCGTTTTGGAGAGTTTATCGGCGAGTTATCGGCGTTATCGGCACTTATTGGCCGATAAGTAAGGCTTTTTTATCGGGATTATCGGCCGGGCATTTTGAGTTGGATTGTTGAGTTTTTAAACTCGACCCGACCCGCTTTCTACAATTAGTTAGTGATTCTAAACATGATGATTTACATTTTGGTATGTTTATATTTCATTAAGCATGGTTAGATTACATTTTTTTAGTTATTATATTATATATATACACCATCCAATATATCACTCCGATAAATACTACTTATCCCCGATATATTCCCGATTTCCGCTATCTGATAAGGATTTTGGCCGTCCGATAAATCCTCGATAACCGATATTTAAAACCTTGTGCCTAGGTTGGCTAGGCATCCACTTTTTAAAACATTGTCTGTAGTGAATAAGACTTTAACAAAATCCTCACTTAATCTCCAGAATTTCGTCACAAAGCAAAGATGCATGTGTAAGATAGATTATGTTCTATGATTAACGTGATTATTATTTATGATTAACACCGTCGGTCCAGTCGCGGCTTCTACATCTTTGGATCAAGTCAAAATTATCTTCTAAGTCGCAAATCTTTATATGGCATCCCTTTGTGCAACCACTCCAGCAAGCATATTCCAATTTGCGATTTTGGGAATCTTTGTCAGTTTTTCTCTATCGATTGTCCCCTAACCACTCATCTTGATAGGGTTGAATGGATGAGCAAGAGACATCCTGTTCAACTTTCCACCACATCCCATTGTTATCTTCAGACCAGATTTTCTTCACAGTCACTCACATCAGTGCCTTAATGCTACTAGCGCGACTAAGTAGCACGACTAATTGTGTTGTCACCATTGCACTGACCAATTCCACTATGGCCGATCTGTTGCCATCATGATTCCCAGCTTATTCTCAATGATATACTAATCTATGTCAAGGATGAATAGAGCTAGAGTAATAGTATCTCTCCTTTCCTTCTCTGTGGGATCTTCTGTGAAGAATGATAGTAATAAAATGGTCATCATTTTAGCTGAATATCAGAATGAAGCATATCAAAATGATTCTATTGCCTTGGTCTCCATCAACTTGTCTTGTGATTATCTGTTATATGGTTCTATTCTTATTTCTTACTATTTGTCCTGAGAGTTTTAGAGTTACCCAATCCTTCTGTGAGGGCATCCTCTTTTAAGCAGTAGAGATTTAATGAAAAATAAATATGGTTGATTGCATGTGATATAAAGATTCATTGAAACCAAGAATCACCGCCAAAAGATCCATATTTATCTTAATTTTTTTAGATTGAATTTAGGTGTTCCTGTTAACTATGACTGTTGATTCAATACGAGGATCATTAGGACAATTAATTTGCTTGCTAAAATTTTTCTTATTATTAGTTGATGATTGATAGGATAATACAAAATACGTAATTAGTTAAAATTCTTGTTATTAGATGAGATTGTTAGGATAATTGTGATCTGATTGAGTTTGTTTAGATTAAGATGATTGCTTAGTTGGTTATTAGTATCTGGTTATGAAAATGGGTTTTAGAGGGTTTAAAAGATGGGTTGACGAATGAAAGTTGTTATTTATTTGTATCAGAGTTGGAAAATTTTCTTCGCTTGATCGATTGAGTTGAATAGAATAATACCTTGTGTTTATGGGAGGAATATTTTTCTTGATCGATCGATGGGTTAAAATCTTTCTTATTATTAGTTGAAGAGAGTAATACCTTGATCGATTAAGTTATTATTTAATTTGTTCTTTCTCATGAGGTTTGGGAGAAATTTGGGGGAAAATTATTTTTGTGGGGATTGTTGATAATTTTGTCAACATCCGTGCACAGTTGTGAGACTAGGATTTTAATGAAGGTTATGTTATGATGCCAGTTCTAAATAGGATAAGGATGGAGTCAGGCTGTTCAAGGAGATCACCATGGTATGAACTATTGAGAAGATGGTGGTGTGATAAGCTCTACAAGTTGAGCAATAAAGGAAAGATTTATGGAGAACCGCGATGGAAGATGCATCATTCTGAGGGAAGGCTCTCTTACGCCACATTTAAGCTCGGGCTAGACCTGGACAAAGGTGGTGACAAAGTGGCCAGTGTCAGGGCTCAGGGAGGTGGAGGTGTTTCAGGCCTTGGCACGGGACCTTATGGCTCTGAGGTTTAGAGTTTAGGTGTGGGAAGATGAGATGTGATACCATTCTAAGACTTTGAAAAGATTTTTTGTTTAATTAATTTAGAATTGAAAGAGGATAATACCTTGTATATATACTCATATTATAGGTTTGGTTGTCTATATAGAAGTCATAGAAAAATAAAGCTATAAGAAAGAAGGATACTATCTTTAACAATTTTGTTATTTTTATTTTGCAATTTGTTTCGTTTCTTATTTTCTTCCTTTCTTGGTAAGTGCAATCTTTTTTCGCTCCCTATAAATTATGCTAGCACACATGTCATTTTTCACAATCAACATAGGGTATTTGGTTCGTGCAGGGACATAAATTTACTGGTACTAGGAAGAGGACATGGGGTCTGGCGTATGTGTCCAGCATGCTTTCTCAAACTGCCAAGTATATAATTTATTCTCGTGCTGTAAATAAGTATTTACATTTATAACCAAACAGTGATATGTACTATGTAGTACTATTCTTTTCTAACCTGTTTAGTAATGGAAATATCTTGAAAAGAAATTTCACGGGAACAATTGAATTTTCTGATATAAAAACTGTCAAGTGTCAACCTTTCTAGAAACCCCTGCAGTAATCTCTTTTCCATAAATACTTCCTTTCACTTGCTTTGTTCCATACATCTGTTGTATATTAGTGCGTGTATAAGATAGTCTAGTTTTTTTTCTAGCAAAACCTGCAGCAGTCTCTTTTCCATAAATACTTCCTTTCACTTGCTTTGTTCCATATATCTATTTTATATTAGTGCGTGTATACTTAAGATAGTCTAGTTTGCGACTGCTAATGACTGTTTCTGTCCATTCTATCCTTCAGTTCACATTGATTCCAGAAAGGGAGATTAGTTTTACTGTTCAGCCTTTTGTTGGTACCCTACTTAAAATTTCCTAGCAGTGAAGTTTTTCATGAGATTATTTTGTAGTTACTTTATTATGCAAGAGTCATAGTATAGGGAAATCTGAGTAAGCTTAATGTGTGCTCTGCATTGCCTCTGATAAGATTAAGGGTAATGTTGTCTAGCATGAAAAGGGCTTGCATTTGCAAGTTCCTTGACTAGCAAAAGGCAGAAATATGGAACACATCATCAAGAAAAAATAAAAGGTAGAGAACAAAGAAAGATGCACATGCGTGTAGGCACCTACATTTAAACGCATGGATGGAGAAATCCTAATTGTAATTTTTCTGTGCAAATTAATTGCCGCTAGTCATTGATCATTTCAAAGTCAAACAAATAACAGTCATCTCTCAGCTTAACTACACTGAAACAATGGCAAGTGACATTAGTCGGACAATCGTATATGATTGTTTTTTTGCCAGAAGTTCCCCCCGCTTTGATATCCTTCTGCAGCGAGCAAATTACTATATCTTCGAGTTGCAGTCCATGCTTCTATAAAGAATATAACCAGATTGAATTACTCATCTAAGTTCATTTTTATTGTTGTGAGGAGATTTAGTCACATTTATCTAAAATATTCCGATGTTATTATTTTCGCCAGATCGACTCAATGGGTCATGAAAAACATCGCTTCCTCTATCTGCTGAAGAGACGAAGATAAGTTGCTGGTTGAATTTGTAACACTTGAAAAATCATGGTGGATGAGATAATTTGTTTGGATGAGCCTGGGGCTGAATTTTATGTTAAAAGTTTTTGGATTCAGCTGAATGTTTCTATTTGTTTCTTTCTCTTGTAATTTATATAATATTTTATTTTTCATATTAAATTCCTGTTTGCTTTCTCTCATTAACTGGAAGTTGTTTGATGGCCTACACTCTGAGCAAAGCGCGTGAAGATTTGTATGGATATGTTAATTCTAGAACTTTAAAGTCCATGCCTGCAGCGGTGCTAGATTCTCATGTGCTAGCATATTGAGGGTTTTATGTGTATGAATTCTTGTTTAGAGTTCATGATCAGAGTTGTATTGACAAGACTTGGAATGGAGCAGTGTGCTAGTTGATGATATTATTTTATTTATAGGATTTAGTCTAAATCTGTATGCAAGCTTTACCATCGCGCTATAATGCTGTCCTGTGGCAAATTGAATTAAATTGAACCCTTTTCGAATTGGGGAGATCTGCCTGTTTCGGGTTGGAAATAGTTAATAAAGATCTTTTTCGGATGAGGTTGGAGTTGAGGGCCCCTGATTCCTCTCCTGGCAGTCCTTTTGAGCCGAGCCATCTCCTGCGACAAATAGTTGGAAGACATCGGAATTGGTTTTTCCAGTGGTTTGGTTGTTCTGATGGTCTTCCGATGCTTTTAGTTAGATGGAGGAGAAGGGAGAAAGATGGTAGAGAAGTATACGCAAGACATAGGGTTCTCTTACCAAGTTCTCTCTTTTTATACAAACTTGAGGATAGATCGAGAAAGAGAAGAAACGTGAGTCGTGTGAGTCATTAGCTTGTACCCTGAGATGATTTATGAGGAGGATGAGGTAGTTACGCTAGGTAGAAAGATCGCTAGGAGAAAGTATGTTTAATAACAGCAGGTGTGTCATCATATGAGTTGGTCATGATTCTCTCTTACGTGAGGGTTGCTTAACCTTATCTTCATTCCTTCGTAGCTCAGATTGCAATGGCCAAGCTGGGATGAAAGGCAAGCTGCAGCTCTATTAGGATTGGAGTCCGATTTATGAGCCTGTTTAATCGGGGGGTTCTAATTTTTTTTTTTTTTTATCAAGGGCTTTTGATACACGCAGCTCCATTTTGTTGGCATCTCTCAGAGGTCGGACTTTTTGGCATAACACTGCCAAATCTTGAGCTATTTATAATAGGGGTGAGCAAACAGTCAGTTTGGTTTGCACCAGACAATGCTCAGCCCTAGCTATATAATGTGTGATTCAACGTACTTTTTTATCGGAGACGTGCCGAAAAGAATCTGTTAATGGGAATGTCCGTGTGTTTTTGGGCAGTTTCCTGATCCTTCTTCATTCTCTTTCATTAATTAATGAAAAATCATCATGGATATCATTGACAAATTTAACATCATATATCTATTGTATCTTTTCCATAATTTATTTATTTTTTCTTTTCTTATGCCGTGGCATGTATGTTTTTCATTCTGTATTTCCTTGTTTAGGGACGAGAAAGTTTTTTTTTCCTTTCTTTTTGGGCAAATTTAGCATAATTCGAAAAACTCCTGGGCGTTTCACATACAACCCTTGAACTTTTCTCATCAAACCCCTCTAGTTTTCTCACAAGACCTTCTACTTTCTTTTTGCTTGCGTATAGATCAAAGTCGGAGCTCTTGATCCTCTCTTCCTTTTCTAGTTCAAAACTTTCAAATCTCATATATTTCCTATTCAATGTTGCTTATACTGTTAGGAAATTATGAAATTTCAGATTAATTGTCTAGGATTGATTTTTCTCATTAATTTCAAAGATAGTTTTGTAATTCAAGAGTCATTATAAGAAGGGCATCCTTGATGCAATGATAAGAGTTGTGATGGAGGTTATGTGTTCGAGCCACGGAAACAACCTCTTCTAATATGAAAGCCCATACAAGAGAACCAAAGAAATTCGGCTAGGGATTGAAGAAATATCGATGTGTGTATCGATACTCGTATTAGTATCCGTATCGATACTAGTATCGATAGGTGTATCGATACCAATGTCGATACTTGAATCGATACCTAGTGGACAATTACGAATTAAAAACTAAAATTATCTTAATTGGGGGTTAAGTTTGATCTAATGGCTAATATTCATTATAATACTCTATAATAAGGATAGAGAGTGATGGTTTGGAAGTGTGAAATTTTTTATAAAACTCTATTTGTAGATGAATGTTACTCTTAGCTGAGAAGACCTTTTAAAATTGTAAACATTATTTACAATTAATAAAAAAATTTACCTCTTCAAAATTTTCTTTTCTTCTCTTTATTGGTTGATGAAGATGAAGATAAAGATTTGCTTTCAAGGGGCCAACCCCTTGTAATGTAAGTTTTTCTTTTTCTCTTTTATTTTCTTGATTTAAGAATTCGTGTTTTAGAATTTTATTTTTTATGTTTTCTTACTAATAGATTAGATTTATTTTGATGCCTTGTAGAGTAGATTTATTTTCATGTTCTTCTATTTTTGTTATTTTCTTGCATTTTTATTTTATAGTATACATTTACTTTCTTGCATTTTTGTAGCTTAGATCTACTTTTATGATCTTAGTTTAGATCTTAGTTTTCTCATTCTTGTTCTTATTTTTATAATTAGTTTTTATTTTTTGTATTTTCATTCTTCTTCTTTCATGCTCTCTTGTCTAGATTTTATTTCTTCATTTTTATTTTTCAAAATGAGTAACTAAAATCTTATAGGAATTCTAGAACTGTATGAAATTAATTTGCTTCTTTTATGATTTGTGGATTGCTCTCTTGTGTTTAAAATGATCAAATTTAAGATAATCAATTAGAGAACTAATTGGTAGAAGAATAATTTCATAATATATGCTTATCTTAAATTATTTGGTAGGTTATGCTTTCTTTAAGTGGCTTGACAGATTTCGTAAACATGTTTTGGATAAATAAGATTCATGGTCTATTTCATAATGATTCTCAAGAATTGGAACATCAAAAGAATAATAAGATTCATGGTCTATTTCATAATGATTCTCAAGAATTGGAACATCAAAAGAATAGATTCGACTTTGGCGGGGAATTATTATTGAATTCGAATTGATTCTCAAGAATTGGAACATCAAAAGAATAGATTCGACTTTGGCGGGGAATTATTATTGAATTCGAATTTGATTGGGATTTTTTTAACCTCAACCGACAAATTATCTTTTGAATGCGCACGAAGAGTTGATTCAGAAAGTCAAGCATTATGCTTAGTAAATCTAAAGTAAAATATGATAAAAAAAGAATAGTTCATAAATTCTAAATAATACAAACTAGTTGATTTAATTCTAAATTTCTATCTTATCCACCTAATTTTCTCATCCTTTTTAGATTGATTTCTCACTTGATTCCTCTTTTCCTATTTTATTTTTATTTTTAATTCTTTTTTGATTCTATTTCTTTTTGTTTCCTCTTTGTTCCCTTTTTCTTTTTCCTCTCATTGAATTTTCTTCTTAATTTTTCTTGTTTTATTTGGTAACTAGCTCCCTTTCTCCTCTCTCATTCTAGTTTTCTTTAATTTACAAATAATCACAAACTTTCCATATATCTCTCCACATTTACACTTTCACTCTTAATTATCCACACACAACTCTAGGAACTATTTTAGAATTATCTCTACACACCTTCCTCGAGGGACGAACATCTTTCTATACTACTTGATAGTTGTGCACTTGTAACTTTATTTTATTTAACCCTATCAAGTTTTTGGCACTGTTGTTGGGAAATGTGCTTATAATTAGGATCTTTCTATTTTGGTTTTTTAATTTATGTATTTTCTTGTGAAGTAACCAATTTGAAACTTGAAGATCGAGAATTGAAGATTGAAGATTTACTTATAAAGGTAAGTCCTCTTTTTAATATTTTCAATTCCGGTCTTTTAGTTAGTTTCTCACAATTAGAGACAATTAGGATCTAACTTTAAAAAATAAAAAATAAAATTTTCTTTTGTTAACCTAAATAAAATTCACCCTCTAATTGAACAACTACTAATAAGATAATAAATTCATACAAGAGCTCTCTTTCTCACATTTATTTGATTGTTAGCTTAATTAAAAAACAAAACGATTTTATTTTTACATCCTTTTGTAGTTATTTTTTAATTCCTCGGGTTGCATTGCATATAGCACTAGAAATTTAACAAAGTGATTTGAGCATCTTGATTTGATACATACTTAAAAATACTCTTAAAGGAAAAGCCCTAATCAAGATAAGGTAAGATATTTCATTACCCTTCCTCTAGCCCACAAATCACTAATTCCTCACTATACAACCCCAAGCCTTTAAAACTTATTAGACGTTAGCCCTTAAGGACTTGAGCTCATTAAGGAGTAAGAAATCTTCAAGTGAACTAGTTTAAGTTTACTTAAATTCGTTGGTGTCTAAGGTAAGGTTTAGAGGTTGTGTAAAGTGATCCCTAATGAACGAGGTACTTAATTGGTCTTAGCCTACCTCTAGTATAATTCTTATCTGACTAACTGTAAAACCCCGTAATTTTTGAAAATACTATGATAACTAGTATTAAGTGAGTTATATTATGATAAATATCATTTATTGATAAATGAGTACATTGGTAATCGATTTTAGATCGATTAAGTATGTATATAAGAGTAAACGAGTGAAAACGTGCATGTGTGCACAAACCTGTAAGTTGAATTTTGCTTCTGGCTGGTCGATTGACAACTTGTATTAGTTGACCGATGGGAGTTGGCCGGTCGACCGAGGCTAGCATCAGTTGACTGATGGGAAGGCAGACTCCCTGTACGAGTTGGGTTTCGGGTCCTTTTGATTTGTTTCGGGTTTGCCTATATATATATGGTTATATATATACCCTAGCAGCCACCTTCTCCCCCCCAGCAAACCCTAGAGAGTTATTGGTGAATTTCAAAGAGCTTTGTGAAGCAAATACCGAGAAGAGGGCGAGATCGTCGGCGCTCAGCGAAGGAGGATCTTTTTTTCTTGCATTGTTGGGGATTCTATCACGTGTCGAGGCGAGTTTCATCTCCTCTAATCCCATCCCAGTGTTTATATGGTTTTCACTTGTTTCTATTTAGTTTTATTGGACTTTAAAACCTAGTTTAAGTATAAAGATTGTTCTTTTAAACCACAAGGCTACATGATTTGATCCTTTGATTTTAAAAAGTTATAATACAGATTCTTTGTTTTGGATTTAACTTCTAAAATAAATGTTAACATGAGATTTTGTCGAGATTTAT